TCTGCTGCGGCAGCTGCAGGAGAAGTTCCAGGCCCTGGCTGAGAAGATGACGCTGAGGGATATCCTCCGCCGGGCCCGGGCACCGCTCCGGGGGTCCCGCTCCGGGGGTCCCGCTCCCGCCGCTCCCGCGCTCTGAGGGGCTGAGGCGCCGGCACCGGGCTGCGCTCGGTCCTCAGCGCCGAGTTAGGCCGCGATGATCGACCCTGCCCTCAGCCAGCCGAGTTGTCCCCCCAAATCCGTTTATTTTAGCAGGGCCTGTAGCGACAGAACAAGGGGTGATGGCTCCAAACTGGAAGAGGGGAGATGGAGATGAGATCTGAGGAAGAAATTCTTTGGTGTGAGGGTGGTCAGACACTGGCCCAGGTTGCCCAGAGAAGCTGTGGCTGCTCCTCCCTGGAAGTGTTCAAGGCCAGGTTGGATGAGGCTTTGAGCAACCTGGTCTAGTGGAAGGTGTCCCTGCTGATGGCAGGGGGGTTGGAACTGGATGAGCTTTAAGGTCCCTTCCCACCTAAACCAGTCTGGGATTCCATTCTATGATTTTTCCCTTCACTTAAGAAGGAAATCTTAAAAAAAGTTTTACTGCAAGTAGTACCAGCTCCCAGTGAGCTCGTCTCTGTGTAGCAATTCTTGCTTGCAAGTAAAGTAAGTAGCTAATGATGAGTAAAGATTCAGAAGGTGCATTAAAAAAGTTATTGTCTTCAGTAATGTCACTGAAGTCAGCGTACTGCTGCGTGCTGGGAGCTAAAACCAACCGCTGGCTGCTGAGCGTGGGAAGGCGAGCCCTCAAAAGAGAAATTGAGACCTGAAGGGGCTCTGAACTTTCTCATCAGATGTTCTTACAGAACCCACCTCTTATTTCTGAAGCAGTGAATTTATTACATTTTCAATTTTTTTTCTGTAACTCAACCTTTCAGGAAGTGGCTGCTTTACTGTGAGAGAAGCATAATGTTTCAGCAGCACTCATGATCCTATTGACCATGTGCTATCAACTAAAACAGTTCTTCAGAAAGAAAACCATTTCTTAAACAGAAAATACTCCATTTCAGTCCTGGGCATACAGGAAGTCATTTGAAAATATTTAAAATTACAGTGGTTGGAAAAGATCTTTAAGATCATCAAGTCCAACCATAAACTTCACCTGAATGCTTATCTGTTGCAAAAGACAGGAGGATCATCTTGTGATTATCACAACCTAGCGCACGCTTCATCTTGCGTTAGCGTTGAACGTAAGTAAGAGGGTGAGACATGGAAAAAAGCTGCTTGTTTTTTCTCACAGAAGAAAAAAAAAACCCTATAGAATGATACAATTCTTATTTGAAAAATACAAGTTATCTTTAACTTTTTACTGGAAGAAATGGGCGAGCGCATTGATGATCTTGAGAAGCATGTTGCCGACCTGATGACAGAGGCTGGGATAGAAAACACTGATGAAGAGCTGAGAGTAAAGAAACTTAAGTATTACTTTATGTATTTCCACTTAGTTTTGCGCTATGGCCAGCACCCAGCAGGAAAATATTGTTTACATAGTTATCATAACCTGCATTTACTTGGATTTTAAAGTATACTGAGGTTATTTTAAAGTATTTTAAATTACCTTAGATTTCTTTCTGCCAATGCTACCGCTTTTTCGAAGAACACCAACTGTAGCTTGCTGCAGATGGGAATTTCTATACGTATATTGAAGTAATTCAGGCACCTATTTGTTCTGATACCTTTTTCATGATAAGCTATGAAATATTTTTCAGAAATATAGAAAAGCAATCCATGAAGATATATTTAACTGTAGAGAGATCTGGTTTTATGCTGAATCACACTCATGAATAATTAAACCACTAACCTACTGATGCACTGTTCCTTTGCAGCACTGAAACAAGGACGGGACGGAGAAAGAAAAAGGGAGAAGAGCACCGTGCTGAATCTGGGAGTTTACAAGTAGTGTCACTAGTAAGAAAACAAGTGTGCCTGCATCATGTCACGATGGAATCTCAATTTTGTTTTTTAAACTACTGCCCCAGGAGAAAAGTGGAAAGTTGGGTTTATTCATTTAAAAGGAACGCT